ATTTAATAAAAATAATTAAAAATAAATAAGAAAATTAACAATTTGTTTATCAGATTCTTAGGAATAAAGACATCACTTTCTGGAGATTGATTATATAAAACTACAAATTGCAAGATTGGTCAATTAAGATGTATTGATTCACATACAAAAGGATGTTCTCATTTCAAAAGAATTATTCAATTTATTTCTTAATGACAACTCTGTTAATGTTTTCATCACTTTTTTTTTTGCAAATAATTAACACCTAGTTAGAGAAGACTGAAGAATAGCTACCATAAAGGAATATAAGTAATTTTCAATGCCATGAAGTTTCATAAAGTTTTAAAAAATCAAATTATTTCATCTTTCAGGAACAAAGCTATTCTAGATGGCAAGATATTCCTGAAGCCTCCACATTAGTGTCTATAATGGGTAGGCCTCATGCCATTATATTTTTATAAGCCAGAGTTCAGATGCATCAAGTTACCAAAACCCTTTTTACAAGAATGCCAAATTATGTAATTTCTTCCTATAAGAATGTTATGGACCAGGTGCGGTGGCTCGCACCTGTAATCCCAGCACTTTAGGAGGCTGAGGCGGGCGGATCACCAGAGGTCAGGAATATGAGACCAGCCTGACCAACATGGAGAAACCCCATCTCTACTAAAAATACAAAAATTAGCCAGGTGTGGTGGTGCATGCCTGTAATCCCAGCTACTTGGGAGGCTGAGGGGGACGAATTGCTTGAACCGGGAGGTGGGAGGTGGAGGTTGCAGTGAACCAAGATCGCGCCATTGCACCCCAGCCTGGGCAACAAGAGCAAAACTCCATCTAAAAAAAAAAAAGAATGTTATGGCCCATTTATTGTCTAGGTATTTATTACTGAGCTTCCCTTGGATCCAGTTGATAGTAGGAAGCAAACGTTGAATTAGAATTGCCTTTAATTTCAGCGAGCCCAATCCAGTGTCGCCAGGTCATTTAGTGAATTACATGCTGCCATTCCCAATGAAATCATATAATTACTCATCATCACCTAATAGAATAAAGACATCCTGAAAAAGCTAAATGGAATTTTGAATCATAAATACCAAGGGGTGCAACAATGTAATAATACAAGGACAAAGAAATCATTTGGTGGATTTCCCAAAAATAAGGTCATTACTCCTGTTGTTGGGGAAAAAAGGTTTTCAGGAAGGGTAATAACATTTTGAAAATTTGTATGCTCATTTACATTGTATAAAATGCATTTTTACGGCTTGACTTGGCCATATTTATTTTTAGTTCTCTTATACTCTTTTTTTTTTTTTTTTTTTTTTGAAATGGAGTTTTATCCCTGTTGCCCAGGCTAGAGTGCAGTGGTGCAACAACCTCTGATGCCCGGGTTCAAACGATACTCCTGCCTCAGCCTTCTGAGTAGCTGGGATTACATGCGTGTACCACCACGTCCAGCTGATTTTTCTATTTTTAGTAGAGACAGGGTTTCACCATGTTGGCCTGGCTGGTCTCGAACACCTGACCTCAGGTGATCCATTGCCTCGGCCTCCCAAAGTGCTGAGATTACAGGCCAGTTTCCTTATACTCTTGAATAGTCCTTTCCTTCTGTTATGCTGGTTATTGTTTTTCTGTGGGTAAACTTGAAGTGTTTCCTAAGGTTCAGGCTTTAAGCACTATCTAAACACACATCACTTCCGTTGCCCCGCTAGCAGGGCAGCTGGCTAATGACAGCCCTCGCTTGGCTCAGGTGGTCTCAGATCCCCTCAGCCTGCACCTACAGGGCCTACAGGCCCAAAGGGGCTGGATGAGGAAGGCTCAATTAACTATTGTTAGCATACAGTAACCTAAGGAAAGCAGGGAATATTTTGAAGCAAAAGAAACGAGAATGTTCAGTTACTTTAGATTCAGAAAATGAGCAATGAGTCATTCTAGTGCTACGTTTCTACGATAAAAATACCTACTAGATATCTTGTCTTGAATGTCCCCAGCTGCATCAAACTCAGCAGGTCTGAAACTAAACCTTTCATCTTTTGTCATCAAAGTACAATCTTTCCCCTATACACCCTTTCACAGTTAGTGGTTTCACTGTCCACAGAGTTTCCTGAGCTTAGAGCCTGGGAAGGAGTCGCCCCTAACCCCTTCCCCTCTCTCACCACTCCCACTTGTCATTGACTCTGAAGCCGCCTTCCTTGGGCCCCCTTTGTATCACAATTTAATTCCCTCTCTCACATCCCACAGCTTCTCCTGAGCTCAGACCATTATCATCTCTCTCTCCCTGTACATCCTTTTCCCTGGGCCCTCGCTCCAGGACCACATACCACCAGCCCATTCTCTAGCCAGAGTTTTGCACCTGGTATGACATGAGTTACAGGTGTGCCAAGACGGTGAGTCCTTCAGACCTCAAGGTGGCCAGAAGCAACTCCTTGGGCTCATCCCAGTGTTGCTGCACAAATACCCCTTGTCTGCCTATACCTCAAAAAGATAAAAGTGGAAAGCACTGGGCTGGAGAATACACACTGCCTATACCAAAACAGCAGAAACTCAGACGCAGCGCCAGTCCAGCTCAAGCCAGGCAGTGTTGGTGGCAAAGTGGACTTGGTGGCTGGGCCCTAATTGTGCTCATGCATTGCAAGGGGGTGATGGGATGTTTTAAAGCCTTGAAACAGGCCCTGAAGATGGGAATGAGAAGGAGTCAAGGCCAGGTGGCTCATGCCTGTAATCCCAGTGCTTTGAGAAGTTGAGGCAGGAGCGTTGCTTGAGGCCAAGAGTTTGAGACCAGCCTAGGCAACTAAGAAAGACCTTGTGTCTCCAAAATATTTTAAAAATAATAATAATTATCCAGGCATGGCGATGTGTACCTGTAGCCCTAGCTATTCTGGAGGCTGAGGTGGAAGGGTTGCTTGAGCCCAGCAGTTTGAGGCTGCAGTGAGCCATGAATGTACCACTGCACTCCAGTCTGGGCAACAGAGCAAGACTTTATCTCTTGTTTTTTTTTAAAAAAATAAGGAGTCAAGAGAGATTTTGCCAGTAGAATTAACCTGGAGAGAAAGGTGTCAGTGTCGCCTCTGAGGTTTCAAGGATGGAAGGATGGTGATAATGTTACACAAGATGGAGCACACGGGAGAAGAGCAGCATTTGGGATTGGGAGGGGATGGAGTTGGCCTTCATTAACTGAATTGGTAGACTGTGTTATTCAGAATTCCAGACGGACACTCGTGTGGAAATGCCTAGCAAAGCACCTGAAAGTCACATTTAGGGCTCTTTAAAAGATAGATGGGAAAGCTATTTATAAAGAGATGAGGAAAGCAGCCAAGCCTTTCGAGAGAGGGCTGAGAGCAGGCCACTGGGAATACTCTGTAACATTTAGAGGAAACACAGAGAAAAGGATCCAGTCAAGGAAAGTGAGAAGGGATGGCCAGAGATGTAGGCAGAGATCTGGAAGACCACAGTGCCCTGGCAGCTGAGAAGGCCAGCAATAAAAATATCAACAGCATCAAATGCTATAGTAATGCAGGTAGGAAGAGGACCAAGAGGAAACTAGAGAATCTGGCAATGAGAGGTCAGAGTTGACCTTTCAGTAGTTGATGGTGAAAGAAGCTGTGGCAGTTCAGGTTTTCTGAGAAGCACCTATGAAGACAGATTAGACAGGCAAGGAATTTATTGGGGAAATTCTTGTGAAGAACGAAGCAAGAGGAAGCAGGAGGTGGCAAGGAGAGTCCAGGGACCATAACAGAGGTCTGACACCTGTGAGAGGAGAAAGGGAAGGAGGGATTGGTTGGAGGCACCTCAGGCTGCAGTGCACCTCTGAGAAGGCTGCAGTGAGGCTGATGGGGCATCCCTGAGCAAAGGATGCCTGTTAGGGAGATCCCGCACTGGGCGGGGACGGCCATGAGGAAAGCCCTGTCATGCTTGTCATTGGCTTGCAGCATCCCAGAGAACTGGTACCTCCCTGCCTGCAGCAGATGCTCTTGGTTTTTTTGTTTTGGTTTGGGGTTTTTTTGTTTGGTTTGTTTTTGTTTTGTTTTGTTTTTGAGTCTTGCTCTGTCACCCAGGCTGGAGTGCAGTGGCATACTCTTGGCTCACTGCAACCTCCTCATCCTGGGTTCAAGCAATTCTCCTGCCTCAGCCTCCCCGGTAGCTGGAACTACAGGCGCCCACCACCATGCCTGGCTAGTTTTTGTGTTTTTTAGTAGAGACGGGGTTTCGCCGCATTGGCCTGGCTTGTCTTGAACTCCTGACCTCAGGTCATCCTCCCACCACAGCCTCCCAAAGTTCTGGGATTACAGGCATGAGCCACCATGCCCAGCCAGCAGATGCTCTTGAAGGAGACCTGAGGTTATGTTTACATGGCACCACAGAAGCCAAAGTGACCTTGAGCAGGAAGTAGAAATGCTAGAACTCTGGTCTAAGCTGCTGTCATCTCTATACACAGCATGGCTGAAACAGAAGAGCCACACAGAGGTTAGCAGGTAGGCAGGGCCTGGTAAGGAGGCCATAAGCTGTGGCACTTTCACCCAAAGCCATCATAAAGACCCATAACGAAGTGGCTGGCCAAGGTCACAAGGTTTCATAGAATTGCCAAGACGAGAGCCAGCTGTCCATCATTCTTCCCTTGACATCCCTGGTCTCTCCTCCAACCCTGTGCTCTCCCCACACTTCCAATCACACGCGGGATTTGGTCTATCACCGTTGGTAACCAGTGGACGCTGTTGCCTTTGATGTATGTTTTTCTTTCAACGATGGTGTTTTGAAGGATTCTGTTACCTCCATTCCTCCATTTCTGTACAAGTAAGTTAATACAAGTAAGTACTGTCAGAAAATGAGCTCCTCCCGTGCCCAGCGAAGAGGTAGGAGGACGATTCCACCTGTCTTTGTGGTGAGCGCTGATGGAGGATCTTGAGAAAAGCACCTGTGTGCAGCGACATTCTCGTCTCTAAAACCCGCATGGCCACCCGCATGCACACAGGGTATTCTGCCGGTGTTTACCAAATGAAGACACCAACTAACTACCCTGTCTTTCCTTCTAGGTGACCTCATACATTTGCCTCCATACCTTAGAATGGACTTTTTGTTAAACCGAGGTGGTCCAGGCACCAGCAGGGACCTGAGCTTAGGACAAGCATGCTTGGAACCTCAGAAAAGCCGGACCCTGAAGCGCCCCACGGTCCTGGAGCCCATCCCGATGGAAGCCGCCTCCTCCGCCTCCTCCACGAGAGAAGGACAGTCGTGGCAGCCGGGGGCCGTGGCCACATTACCTCAGCGGGAGGGGGCAGAGCTGGGACAGGCAGCTAAAATGAGCAGCTCCCAAGAATCACTGCTCGACTCCCGGGGCCATTTGAAAGGCAACAATCCCTACGCAAAATCTTACACCCTGGTATAACAGACAGCATGACTGGACAGCGGTTGTAAATACAATTCAAACAATTCAATCAAAGCTACCTTTTTTTTACGGAATTCCAATATTTATAATTAAAGAAAATTGCCAAAATATATTAAAAAAAAAAGAGAGAGAAAATACTGAAACCACAGACAGTGCAAAGACGCTCCTGCTTTTCTTCTGTCTGAGTGTGAGCTCCATCCGCCTGGGCATCTGATTTTTTGGGAAAGAAGTCCAGTTTTATGATCTTCACAGGCTATTGCATTTTTACTGATTTTCTACAAAAGTGCATGGGGGGATTAATTAAACCTTCTGACTGGAAGTTCTATCACACAAGAGGCAAGAAAGAAAACAGGGTGGGGGGGGAAATTAGCCTATTTGTGATTTTAAAAGGAACACCGATTTGCGGGCAGGGGAAAACTTCAGTCACGTTTGCACACCTTTCTTTCCCATTAGAAACCGGGTTCTCAATTTGGTCTTCTTTTGTTAATTAGGATGAGTGCCGTCAGTGAAGGGGTGGGGGGGAATCAATTTGATTTTCTTTTTTGTTTCTTTTTTAATTTAATGAGACACTCTTTGCATTTTGTCTAAGCGAAATAAAAAAGAAAAGGTTGTCTGCCTTTATTTCCATGTCTGCTTCTCTCGTCTTCTACCAAGGGCCTGGTCCTCCTTCCCATTGGTACTTCTGTTTGGAAACACCAGGCCTGAACCCAGAGCTCAATTCAATAAACCAGAGTCCATAGTAACACCCTGAATTCCTCAGGAATCTCCAGGAAGCACAAAGAAGGTGCAGCTCCTGCTCTCAAGCTGGAGAGGACAAAATGCAGGCTGGTCTCCACCGAAACCAGAGCCCAGCCCAAGTATTCAAAGCCCCTCGCAAGGCTCTGTCCCTTGCCTGCCCATGGCCAGGGTTCAACTAACTGTGACCTATGGGCCAAATCCAGCCACCTGCTGTTTTTTTAAATAAAGTTTTATTGAAACAAGACCACATACACTATTTGCTACTGTCTATGGCTGTTTTCATGGCACAATGGTAGAGATGAATAGTTGTAAGAGAGATGGTATAGCCTATGAAACCTAAAATATTTATTACCTGGCCCATTACAGGAAACATTTGCCAACCCCTTGCTCTGGAGTCTGAAATGTAGCCCCAGCCTGGGCACGATCATGCGTCCTACCCTGCATGACTTTTCCTGTCTCCACTATGCCTGGTATCCAAATTTGTGATAGACCATCTTAATAAACATTGTCTCAATCCTCTGTAACCAGAGGAAAGTGATGTTCCTCTAAAATCTAAGTTTTTAGTTTCCCTTCCCCTAGTTTATCTCCCATGTGGCTCATCCGAAGAGAGAATTTACTCATAAATAGTTGGAACTGCATTCTCTATCCCACAACCCTCACACGGTTTGCTTTTGAAAGAGGATGGAATCCTCCCCTGGCTGCAACACTCCATTCCAGGCTCACTTCCATAGAAGTGAAAGATAACCAGGTCTTCATGTCAGAGATTTGGCATTAACCAGAAAACATGATCAAACGTCCGTGGCTGCTCAGTCTCCCAGGCCGAAGATTCTCTACAGGCTTCCATTAAGGCCACCAACATAGACTGGTGCCAGTTATTACCATCTTGGGAACGCATTCAGAAATGACTTTCCTTCCCTCCCTCCCTCCTTTCCCATCCTTTCTTCCATTTATTTTCTAGGCAGGCCCATCTGCCTGCTTAGATTCAGTGACACAGAATGTGTCCAGGACCACGTCAAGACCACCTGCTGGTGCTGGTGTTAGATGACTCCATGAATGTGAGGTGTGCATCCATGGCTTCAGAGTTTAATCCGTGTTGACATGTACTGTTTGCATATTCTCAGACTGTTTTTTTTTTATGCAAAAGAAATGAAATGCTACTTTCTGGGCAAAAAATAAAATAAAAGTCTATCTTTCATCAACCTAAAACTTCTATATCCCCCAAACATAGAAGTTTACCTTTGTAACATTTTTCTCTCAACCTGTACAAAAATAAAAAAATTCTACATTATGTTTGCCTCTAGAATGGATTGCTTTCAAGACTCCTGCCTTAAAAAGTACTCATTAAAATCAGTTCAACACACAAACAATTATGTCAAAAGATCACCTCCTTCCAGTTCAGATAGGGGTCTATGATTACTGTCTTCCAGGGACTGCAGATTAAAGGGTAGTGTATACTAAAATGACTGTTATTGACAGTAATAATAATAGATTTTCCTCTGGACCTCTACTTGTCTGATTTGTTTTGTGGAAGTCGTCCTATTAGCCCAAGTCTGCACACAGATTATTCTGTGTTGGAATGGTGAAGCTCAAATACATTCTGTATCCTCTGGTCAATATCTATAGGGTACATGGGCAATAGCTATTAGGTCAGTGGACTGGGTTTCCTCCTCAGCATCCATCTGGCTGACAGTCTGAAAAATGCCCACTCTCCTGGACTAAGCAAGGCCTTCTCTTAATATGTAGCCAGTAAGCCACTGGCTACATATTCACATCTGCCCGATGACTGCTGTCTTGCATCCACGTCCACCGTGTCTACCCGTGAAGAGAAGAAGGTGGAACAGTTGAGATGGCAAAAGATGGAACAGTGCCATGACATGAAGCTGGTCACCAGCTACACTGGATAAGCTTTTATTCCACCCATCGTCTTTGGGCCCTTGCTGCAGAGACCCTTGATACTACCTTAAGACACAGAAAACACACTGTTGCTTACATTGCTCTTTATTTAAGCAGGAGATCACCACTCAGTAAAGTCCCTCTGGTCTGGTGTCATGATCCCTGAATCACTCAGATGCCAAAAGTTTTATGCAACTTTTAAGGACATGGCTGAGGCCTTCTAGAGAAGCTCTGGAACTATATGAATCAATTTCCAGCAATGACGCAAGGCTTCTAGAACTGGGATAAGACTGGGGACCAAAGGACTAGTGTGTTAGAGGCCACCTACTCACCAAAGGTTCAAGGGAACCTAACAGTTTGTCCATAAAAGTCCTCTTTTAAATTTCTAAGGAACGTGGTAGAGAGTATCTCAGCTCTCTGAAGAGCACCTGGAAAGACTAAATATCCTCAGTTTAATATCCAGGGCACCCGAGGCCCATGTTGCTTCTCCACCCATTATTCCGAAATGGTCCATGAGAGGTAGTAGAGTGTGGCTGCAGTGAAGGAGAGATTTTCTGCAGATCTTGGAAACCAAGCTGTTGTAATCCCTAACAGAAGTTTAAGCCAGGAAGGAATCTTCAGACCTGCATAAAACCTGTGTCTGTTTGCTGTGGGATGTTTGTTAGCTTGAGGGAGGAGACTTGTGATGGCAGGGTCACTGAGTAGCCTGAAGAATATGTGGCACTGACGAGCCAGAGCTACAGCAGGGTCAGATGGAGCCGTGGACAGGATCCTCGCTGAACTCCTCACCCCTTGGCAAGCAGGGACTGAAGACTGGATGGGCCTGATGATAACTTGGGTTACCTGAGTGCCATCAAGCATAGGAGTGGGTGTACCTGTTGTGAGACCATCTCCTGTGGGTCATTGCATTTGTGCATGTCTCTTGAGCAGAGGCTTTGATGGCTTCTGTTCTCTACTGTTTTTGCAAGGATGCTTGCATAGCAGATAGCCTTGGAAGACAGAGATAGTGTGTCCTTGCTGGGCAGAAGGCAGATTTGTTGGCTGACCTAGATAATAAAAATAATGTCTCCTTCTGAGGCAAAATTTGGGCAGGTATACCAGCAGCCCCCTTCCAGAGTTTCTTAGGCATTAGACACAGCCAATCAGGAGCCACAGCCTCACTGGTCCCTGTCTAGAGATTCTAGACAGGTCTGGGGCAGCCTCCCTCAGTTCCTTCATCTTTGGTCTAAGTTCATCTTTTCAACGAGGGCCTCCGTGAGCACCCTATTCAATGCCACAGTTCCCCCAGGATTCCTGCCCCCATATCTGCTTTAGCTCTTGTCCATACCCTTATCATCTAACTTGCTCTGAAATTTATTTATTCATAATGGTTATTCTTTGTTATCTGTCTTTACTCTCAAGAATGTCAGCTTCACAAGAGTAGAATTCTTTGTTTTGTTTACTGTCTCCACAGTTCCTAGAAACGTCCCTGGCACACAATAGGCATCTTACAAGTATTTGTTGTCTGGGGGAAAAAAAAAAGTTTGAGCTCTAAGCTTAGAGCTCCTCAACTATGACACAAACCCACTGCGTGCACAGCGTCCACCTGAACGTCTCTGAATCACCCCATGGGCCCTGCAGGGATGGGGAACTGGTGAGAGGCTGCAGTGAAGGAAAGATTTTCTGCAGATCTTGGAAACCAAGCTGTTGTAATCCCTAACAGAAGTTTAAGCCAGGAAGGAATCTTCAGACCTGCATAAAACCTGTGTCTGTTTGCTGTGGGATGTTTGTTAGCTTGAGGAGGAGACTTGTGACGGCAGGGTCACTGAGTAGCCTGAAGAATATGTGGCACTGACGAGCCAGAGCTACAGCAGGGTCAGATGGAGCCGTGGACAGGATCCTCGCTGAACTCCTCACCCCTTGGCAAGCAGGGACTGAAGACTGGATGGGCCTGATGATAACTTGGGTTACCTGAGTGCCATCAAGCATAGGAGTGGGTGTACCTGTTGTGAGACCATCCCCCGTGGGTCATTGCATTTGTGCATGTCTCTTGAGCAGAGGCTTTGATGGCTTCTGTTCTCTACTGTTTTTGCAAGGATGCTTGCATAGCAGATAGCCTTGGAAGATAGAGATAGTGTGTCCTTGCTGGGCAGAAGGCAGATTTGTTGGCTGACCTAGATAATAAAAATAATGTCTCCTTCTGAGGCAAAATTTGGGCAGGTATACCAGCAGCCCCCTTCCAGAGTTTCTTAGGCATTAGACACAGCCAATCAGGAGCCACAGCCTCACTGGTCCCTGTCTAGAGATTCTAGACAGGTCTGGGGCAGCCTCCCTCAGTTCCTTCGTCTTTGGTCTAAGTTCATCTTTTCAACGAGGGCCTCCGTGAGCACCCTATTCAATGCCACAGTTCCCCCAGGATTCCTGCCCCCATATCTGCTTTAGCTCTTGTCCATACCCTTATCATCTAACTTGCTCTGAAATTTATTTATTCATAATGGTTATTCTTTGTTATCTGTCTTTACTCTCAAGAATGTCAGCTTCACAAGAGTAGAATTCTTTGTTTTGTTTACTGTCTCCACAGTTCCTAGAAACGTCCCTGGCACACAATAGGCATCTTACAAGTATTTGTTGTCTGGGGGAAAAAAAAAAGTTTGAGCTCTAAGCTTAGAGCTCCTCAACTATGACACAAACCCACTGCGTGCACAGCGTCCACCTGAACGTCTCTGAATCACCCCATGGGCCCTGCAGGGATGGGGAGCTGGTGAGAATATGGCTCTCACACTTATTGCTATACTTTAAGTAATGATATCCTCAATCTCTGACCCAGGAGTCTCGTGCCTTCTGCCAGCATCTATGAAACCGAGACAAGCCAACTTGGTAACTCACAAGAAAGGTAAAAGTCCCAGGCTTTCTACCATCCTCAACAAGCACAAACCAGACATGGGCAGCACCAGCTCCCTCACCCACTCCCCAGAGGGACAAGTCACAGCTTAGACTCACAAACTTTTTGCGATTTGGTGGGAGTGGTATTTTTTTTTTCTTTCTCTCTCTTCTCAATCTCTCACCATCAAAAAGAAAGAAAAATGGAAAACTTGGTAAAAGTGACTTTCAGCACATGGCAGGGGGCGCCTGTTTCATCTCTCAAGACCAGCTTGACAAAGCCAGAAAGCCTTTTGTGTCCCAGAAACTTCAACCCCCCTCTAAGAAGAAAAGATAATGTTTATCATCTTCAGCACTGGATCTCCCAGAGTGCTGGACTCTGACTCTAGGAGATCATCTTTCCATGGAGAAGAAAATACCTGCCACGTACATTCATATGTGTGATGGCACCAGGGGCAAGGGGTGCTCCAAGGGTCCTTGAGGACAGCAGTGCTGGACCAGACTGCAACCTAGGTGGGTCACCATGTCCACTGGACATCAGAGGGCGTCACAGCCAAAGCAGAGGTGGCATTCCCAGTCATGCTGTGTGTGCCTGCAAGGATTTTATTCTCAAGCAATTAATTCAATGTTTGCCTCAATCTTTCATTCTCTGAGGTTCCCCTAAGGGTGACCACCTCACTAAATAGAGGTGCAAAAAATTGCTACTCTGTGAAGCAATGTTTTAGCAGTCTATTAAAAAGACGCTTCCTGTTTCTAGAGCTGAAAGTGTAAGTGTCTTATAAAGGTGCAGCTTCCTAGATGGCAAACTGATGGTGTGGTATCGTGGTCCAACCCCCAGGTACGGAAATCCAGGCCTCTCACCCTGAGTGGAAGCACAGTCATCCATGCAACTACTGCTAACACTTGGTAAAACACAAATCTACTACACTCTTGCAGCACGTCAACAACCCCTCAACATCTGCTTCCCTATCCAGGGTGAGAGGTGGTTCTGTCACAGCCCAGGAAGGTGACTAATGACAGTTCTAAGAGATACGCTCTGCACATGCCAAGTGAAGCAACAGCCAGAGAAAGATACAGCCACTAGAACTGATTTTACCTCAATCTAGTATCAGCCGAATCCTGTGTCTAGTCCTCTGTTAAGTCATGTGATGAGAGAACATTCCTGTCTCATTGAAGCTTCTACTTCTCTTCTCCAGTTGATTCTCTTTGAAAGGCCTCTCATCATCTTCGAGTTAGCAGATGGCATTCTGTCCACTTCTGTAGCAAAAGTTAACCCTCAACACCAAGGTGCTGACATTTCTAGGAAGAGGACTGGGAGTTCTTTGCATGGAGCCAAGAATAATGAAGATGCTTCCAAATGGAGTTACAGAGCACCTGGCAAGGGGACACTCTTGTTGCTATGGAAGTAACTGGAAAAGCTTCTAGTGTCCATCTTGGTCAAGGTCCATTCTCAGCTGTGTTTGGTTACCTGCCTCACATGTCCATTCTGCAGCATGTGAAATTGGCTTATTCAATGACCTAGGATCACAGGAAAAT